AATTGTCCCAGCCTAATTCTGTAAGTAGTTGGTTGGCGTCAGCATCATAACTAGAACGAGTGAGAACGCAGATCGCACGATTTTGCAGTTCTGTAATTTGTCAGATAATGTTTTCGCACAGTTACCCCAAACAAAACTACAATAGTCGAAGTGCGATTGGACTAACCCATGATAGATATTTTGTAAAGTTGCAGGAGGAACACAGTGACTTAATCGTTTTAATAGATCCAATACCAGAGAATATATATAATAATAATAATAGTAATAATAATAGTACAGTTCTTAAAAACGTATTATACATAAGTCTCAATACTTTTACATAAGATTTAAAGTAATTTCAAAATACGATAAAAATTAAACTATAAATTAAAAGCGATTTTAAAAAGGTGAGTCTTGAGCCTGGTTTTAAAGGAATCAAAGGTTTCGGAATATATTATAAAATCAGGAAGTTTGTTCCAAAGCATGGGGGATGCACATGTAAAGGATCTGTCGCCATAGGTAGAGGTTCTAGATCTTGGGACAGACAGATTGATGGACCTTGAGGAACGGAGAGAGCGGACAGGTGTATAGAGAGTTAACAGATTTGCCAAGTAATCAGGAGCCAGAACATGAAGCGCTTTATAGGTGTAGAGAAGCAGCTTGAAAATAACACGATGTTCCATAGGGAGCTAGTGTAGATTAATGAGAACTGGAGTAATATGTTCAGATTTTTTTGCTCGCGTAATAAGTCGGGCGGCAGACTTTTGTAGTCTTTGAAGTCTCTATAGCGTTGATATGATTACTGCATGTTAAATTTTCATCAATTAATACACCAAGAGACTTAAAAAAATTTACTCTGTTTAATTGGGTGTCATTCATTTCCAAGGTGGGAAGAACGGTTAGACTGTTTAATTTTTGTCTTGACCCGATTAACATTAATTCAGATTTCGTCATGTTGAGAGTCAATTTACTGGCAAGAAGCCAACAGTTTATACTTGAGAAGTTCTGATTTAAAGAAGCCTCCATGGAGCAGATGTCGTTGTTAGCATATGTTAGGTGAGTATCATCCGCATACATTCTTAGTTGTGAATTTAATAAGCAATTAGGTAAAACATTAATATATAAGAGAAACAGCAAAGGACCCAGTATTGTCCCCTGGGGAATCCCACAAGTTAAAGTGCAACTTTTAGAGAGGACACCATCGACAGTGTATTTTTGGGTACGATTGTCTAAGTAGGATGAAAGTAATTCGTAGGCATTTCTTTTGACTCCATATGAATAAAGTTTGGATAATAAAAACGGGTGATTGACTGTGTCAAATGCTTTTTTTAGATCTAAAAAGACAGCAGCGTTAATATAGCCACGATCTATGTTAAAGGCCCAATTATCAGTGGCTTCGAGCAAAGTGGTTACAGCTCTGTGCGCAAAACAAACGTAGTGTT